TTATTATACAAAAGATTCTTGGGGTAGAACAAGCCTCCATTTTGCAGCGGAATTTGGGCAAGAACATATTGTCAAGTATCTTGTTGAATCATGCAATCATGATATTAATGTAGAGGATAAGTATGGCAATACTCCACTGTATATGGCATGTATTTATAATCACTTACCAGTAGTAGAGTATTTAACAGGACAACCAAACTGTAACATTAATAGTAATAATGAGAGACACCCTCTACTAGCAGCAGCAGATAAAGAACATTTAGAAATAGTGAAGCATCTCATTGAATCTACTGACTGTGGTATTAATGCTAAAGGGAGGGATGGCTTAACTCCATTACATGTGGCATGTTTTAAGAATAATATTGAAACTGTTCAATTTCTTACCAGTTCTCCTGAATGCAATATAGAAGCTGAAGATAATGATCAAAATAGACCACTTCATTTAGCATGTGAATCAGGGAATGTAGACATTGTACATCATCTTGTGATTGATAAGCACTGTGATGTTAATGCTAAAAGGAGGGATGGCTTAACTCCATTACATTTAGCATGTTTTAAGAATAATATTGAAACTGTTCAATTTCTTACCAGTTCTCCTGAATGCAATATAGAAGCTGAAAGTGATCTTCAAAGTAGACCACTCCATTTAGCATGTCAGTCAGGGAATGTAGACATTGTACGTCATCTTGTGATTGATAAACACTGTGATGTTAATGCCAAAGGGAGAAATGGCTTAACTCCATTACATTTGGCATGTTTAAATCGTAATTTTGAAACTGTTCAATTTCTTACCAGTTCTCCTGAATGCAATATAGAAGCTGAAAGTGATCTTCAAAATAGACCACTCCATTTAGCATGTCAGTCAGGGAATGTAGACATTGTACGTCATCTTGTGATTGATAAACACTGTGATGTTAATGCCAAAGGGAGAAATGGCTTAACTCCATTACATTTGGCATGTTTAAATCGTAATTTTGAAACTGTTCAATTTCTTACCAGTTCTCCTGAATGCAATATAGAAGCTGAAAGTGATCTTCAAAGTAGACCACTTCATTTAGCATGTGAATCAGGGAATGTAGACATTGTACATCATCTTGTGATTGATAAGCACTGTGATGTTAATGCTAAGCGGAAGGATGGCTTAACTCCATTACATTTAGCATGTGAAAAAGGTCATTTTGAAATTGTTAAAATTTTGACTAATCATCCACAATGTAATACTGAAGCTGAAGACAATTATCTTAATGACAGACCACTACACAAAGCATGTGAATCAGGAAATGTAGACATTGTACATCATCTTGTGATTGATAAACATTGTGACGTTAATGCTAAAAGGTGGAATG